AATTGGCCACCGTAATGATAACAAAAGCTGACGTTTCGAGCGTTAGCCTTCGTCGGAGCGAATGACGAAGGGCTAACGCTCGAAACGTCAGCTTTTGTAATCATTACGGTGGCCAATTTACCATTTCAACTTTGTTGATATATCCAAATCAACCGCAGTTTGTTTATCGGTGTCGCGATCGGCCAAATGTCCTCCCCACTCCACCCCCACTTATACCGTTGTCCCTATTATACAGTGCGGAAGCGATCAGAACCGCCGATTATTCGACCTAAGTCGTTTCCGTTTCCTTTTGAAAGCCGCCAGATTTGTCGGAAAACTCTCTTCAGTGGACTCCAAAACGTAGGCCGCCGATTTAATATCATATGAAGCAAATATCTCTAGATTTACTACAAATTTCTGGTCGCAGTTTCGTCTGAATCATCTTTATTTAAATTTTACTTGTATTTTCGACTTCTATTGAGCGCTCGATCAGACGAGTTAAGAGTATGAGAAATTGAGCGGATTTTGCCAGGGATTCTCCGATCTTTGTTAAAAGGTAAGTACCTCTAGGTACGCACATTATTTAATAGGTTGCTTTTCAAAGTAAGATTTGTTAGACAAGTGAAATATGTTTAATTTATCTCGGGACTTTAAATACATCGGAGTTATGGAGGAGGTTTTAAAAATACACGTAGCTAACTCGACCCTAATTGATTTGGGAAATCATGGTCAAAGCAAGTAGCTGAAAGTCGTTAATTTTTAACACTGTTCGATTGATCTCGACAAAGCTTGATATTTTCAGTTAACTCAGATCAACAATGTTATTCACCGACATTATATTTTGACGACGAGCTTCAGTGAGTCCAAAATGCAAATTTATCATAAATCGTTGAGAGCCACGTATTGTTACTAGAATAAAAACAAAACTCTGATCTTCGACTGATCTCGACAAAAATCTCGAACACAAGCAAACCACTGACACTAACTGGGGAAGAATTATGTTCAGCGTTTCTACCACTCCTAAACAAGAAATCCTTCACTGAAAGTAAGCTTCTACTCAACACGCGTGTGAAACAAAAGAATAATCACTCGTCAAAGCAAAAATGTCGTGTTTATTTTGATAAGGAAACAGCTGTATGGGCTTCTTGGAGCGGGCGAACTACAAATAAGCCTACCAGTCAGTTTTATGAGTCTGGGTTTTATCCTGCTCAAAGTTCCTTTTACTCTGCAGCTGATTCACCGATACGAGATTTGATAATTCATGATATGCGAAAGCTAAATTCAATTATCGTATATATACATATTTTTCAAACAATCTGCCAAAGGGAAAGTAAACACTTATCGCTGAGTTTGTAAAACTTTGAGAATTCCGACTCGAGCGATGGACTGGGAAACTAGGCAGACTTTGAACTCGACATGATAACTCAATACCTGTGGAAAATATTAAGTTATCATGTCAACTTCACTCTCTATTCAAAATTCATTGATTTACATCATTTCTACGTGGTTTAATACGAACCAGTTGGCTTGTTAGCTCAGTTGATAGGGCACTGTACCGGTATCGCAAAAGATTCGTGCCATTTGGAATCTCGGTACCCCTCAATGTTTTCTGTGTTTAGACTGTGTTTAAATGATGTGTGCGTTAGCCACAATGATGAATATCAGTTTACTAGTACAATGTGCGTCATTTTTTTTCTACCTAAAAGAGTTCATAATAGGCATGAACTTGTCACTGAATGACCTCAAACATGGCAGGAAAACATTAAAAAGGGCACCACCACCAAAGGCTCCAACGGTTATTCCCACGAGTCAAGATGACGGTAATACTGGTGCTTTATCGGTGGCATCTGTCCGAGAAAGATTTGAACAAAAGCGAATACCACCGCAGAAGCCCAATGCAACACAATCACCCAGTCAAGGTCGTGGCAAACCCCCAGAGGAAAAGGTTTTATCTGTGGCCTCAGCAAGAGCAAAGTTTGAACAAGAACTGAAACCTGTAAATAAAGGTCCTCATCCCTGGAAGCCAACACCAAACGATAGAAACCAGTCCGAAACAGACTTACTGAGACTAGATAAGAACAGTAATGCCAAGGGGCATGGGAACATAGAACCACCGCGTAAAGAGCTACCTAAAATTTTTAGAATTGGTGCTGCTCCATCCAAACCTGTCAAACCGACTAACCTAAGGTTCATGCTGAAAAAGTACAAGGACAAGATCATTTTGTCAAACAGCGTAACCTCTTCGACTCAGACATCCACAAAAGGTAGCCAAAATATAAATATAGCCTAACTGTCGAGTGTGTGAATGTATTTTTAGCCTTTTGAAGAACACGTATGCTCTAGAAATCTGGAGAAAAAACATAAGGCTTAACTCAGTTACTAGCCTAGAGGTTAAAGGCTCCAAATAGCTCCCCAAGCTGTAAAAAATTGCGTTAAAGGTAGATGCACTACAGACGCCGCCATTTTGAAGGCAAAGTAGTAACTTAACCGGCCACCGGTGACATCACAAAGTTCAAACTAAATGTTAGGAATCACAACAGGACGTTCACGATTAGGTGGTGCTTCGGAAGTTCAAAAATCTCATTTTTTAGGCGATAATACTTCTTGTGTGACTCAAATTCAAACTAAAGTTCTTTGCCAGGTTAATATTCCAATGAAGGTAGACATGGCGAATTTCTGCCACATTAGAAGATAACTTTGATGTCTACCTCAGCCCTTTATTTCGGTATGATCTGTCTCCGTGCCAAACAGGATCGTCATTAAACTTGAAAGAAGATGGAAACCCTCATCATTTTCAGTTGAAAAAAGAAATAGAAAAAAAATTCGCTGGGACTTGACTGAACCAATCATTTGACGTGTATTTGATCTTCTAACTTTGACTTTTAGAGGACAAATGTGAGGAAACTGACGAAATATATGAAGACACTGAAGACTTATATGATGATGTACAATCTGTGCTTCCAAGGAACGGAGGTAAACTTTGAAATTTTTCCCCATCGATAGCGTAGACGTGTAATTTTATCTTTGAAGGACAAAACATTTAGAGTAAGTTCTACCTCAAGCTCGCCCAAATATTTCGTGGCAAAATTTTTTTTTCTTCGGGCGTTGTACGATGGTCGTACGAGGAGCACCTTGACTGAGCTAACCCTCTGCGCCCCAACATCAGAATGCATATTCTCCATACTGTTTTCCATACAATTGCTGACAAAGAGAATTTGTTTGAAAGAGCTTCTTTGGTTGGTGATCATTTCCAGCCTCGTTCCCAGGGCCTTTCCCCACCCCAACTGCACCCGATTCGCCTTTAATCTACCGCTTATAACCGGATCTAATTATTCTCAAATTACCGCATACATGCTGATAAAGTAGGCCCTATTTACCTACCGAGATTAGATTACCGAGAACAAAACAAAACAAAGGAAAACAAAACAAAGGAAATGATTTCAGAATGTTTTTCTGAGGTCGCACTTGACATGTGGCAAGGTTCAAGCGAAAGAGGAAAATTCATCGCTTTTACATCTGGTAAAAAGAGATCATGGATAAAATTCCACGCGTGAAGATTACTGAAGAACAGAAAAACATTCTGAAATCATTTCCTTTGTTTTGTTTTCCTTTGTTTTGTTTTCCTTTGTTTTGTTTTCCTTTGTTTTGTTTTGTTTTGGCCTTTGTTTTGTTCTCGGTAATCTAATCTCGGTAGGTAAATAGGGCCTACTTTATCAGCATGTATGCGGTAATTTGAGAATAATTAGATCCGGTTATAAGCGGTAGATTAAAGGCGAATCGGGTGCCAACTGACCTCAATGTGTGATTCGGGGGTGATGTTGTAATGAGATGTTTAATGCTTGTTACTTTTAGGAGGTCGAAGGGTTAAGGGGAACAAATTTTGCTTACGGAAGCAGGATTTCTGTGAGATATGTAACCTTTCGTGTAGAATTGTAACCTTTGTAAAAATTGGGCTGTCCAAAAAGGCTTGTGCCGTTTTAGAGGGTATAAATTTGAGCCGTTTTGGACTGAAAACGAATTTAGATTTTGGCTATTGTGGTCTTTCAAGATTAAAAAATCAGGTAAGGCTTTCAAGGGAAAAATGGGAGCATATGAAGGTTTTTTTTAATTTCCAAATGAAGAAAAAGTAACGAAAGTGTTGGCTAAAACATGAGGGTGGTAACGCCTAACGCACATGCAATGGCATAGATTCGCAAATTTCAGAAACCAAGTCTGTACATGGGTGAGGAAGAAGACATGTTTGGTTCTGTGGCTTTGTGTCTTCCTCAATCCAATCCAACCTCAAACCAAAGAGACGGGATTCTTAAAATAAAAGAGGGGGGGAGGGGTCAGGTGAATATTATTGTGAAACAGCCAAAATTTTCCGCACCCCTCCCCACTTTTGACGATAAATAATGACCGTTACCTAGATTATGCATGCATTTTGTCATTCTTATTAGGTTCGTTCTTTATTTTCCGACAGATGACCAATCAAATGATGTTTACGAAGCTGTTTAGCCCGGGACTTAAATTGTTTTCACCGCTCTGTGTATGGCCAGTTTTTGTGAATGAGGCACCACAGACTGCCTGGTCGAGACAACCAATAAGCGAACGCCTTATTCTAGCAAAAGAATATGTTAGGAAGAAAATACTACGATCATTTTAACCAATCGTTACTGTTCGAATTGATAGCTAGTTCTATAAAGTAGAAACCGGAGTTAATTCTATAAAGTAGAAACCGGAGTTAAGCACCGGCCTAATGGGCCACTAGGCTCGTAAACAGACTTTACCTTTATCTCTATAAAGTAGCCCCTAATCATAAAAGACAATTATCATTAAATATCAGTCTTGATGAAAATTTTAATGAAAATTGTTTGGTATTCACAATGAATAGTGGGACGAATTTCATACTTTTAGGCTTAGAATGTACATGTATGAAAACAGCTTTTTTTTTTTTTATCAGACTGAATTTAAATGACCATTGGAATTTTATTCTAGCTTATTTGTATTTTTCGATGTAAAGCTTTCAAAGTGGCCATTACCTAGGCTATAGAAAGTTGCCTAGCTACATATCGTGGTATTATCAAGTGGTGAAGCAGAAAGATATATTTTACAATGGTATTTCAGTTGGAGAAAAAAAAATGAACTAACAGAACAATGTGTTGGTATATAGGGGGTAAACTGATGTTGCATGACAATAATACGATAATTTGGTTTTATCGACCGAGTCAATAACATAAACTAGCCACCATAAAGAGTTTTTAAAGCTCTGCGGTGGCTAATTTGCATTGCAAACTCAGTTGATAAACCCAACTACGTATTGCTATATATCCATAAGAAGTCCAGCAAATGACAAAATTATGCAAGATTAGGTAGTATTGATGTAATAAAAGCGTTTTCACGTAATATATCATAAACGAGTGCGAATGTATGATCTGTTTCTCGGTGTTTGGGGCCCCTGATGAAACACGAAGCACGAGTTTTTGAGACGACTTCTCAAACGAAACAATGAAAACAAAACATGCACGCATGATTAATTATTTTGGTTTAGTTGGTGTGTGACCACGAGTGAAGATGGTGCAGCAAGATATAGGGAGCCGAAAACGGTTTAGGGAGAACGCGAGTCCGTCGAAAAAGCTATTCGCTCGTTTGCCAAATGTAAGTAACAAATGGGCGGTAATAATTTTGGAAAGATTTCCGTATAACCCCATACCATGAGAAGACACACGAAGACTGCACTGTAAGTATCCCGGAGAGCTTCATACTATTCCTTATAATTTTATTATAAAGAATTGTATGGAGCTCTCCGAGATACTTACAGCGCAAGCCCTATGTGTCTTCTCACGAATCAAAAACAAAGCCGTAGTCCCAGAGGAAATCAGTTGTTTTGCCTCTGCTTTCCTATATCCAAGAATTGAATGCTTGATGAAGTATGGGGTAATATGGAAATCTTGCCCTAGAAAGCACAGCTTTCTACCAGCATTGAAGAAATGGATGCAGTTACCTTAAATTACTGACTTTGTAAGTTTGCGATGAAGGTGGCTTAGAAGTTGGGTGAGAAATATCCAACGAAGACCGCTTCTGAAGTAATATTCAGGTCAGTTTTGGAATATTGGTGTTCACAATCTATTAATTATTGAAAAATGCTCATTAAAATGCAAGTGATTAATCTGAGATCAAAACCGTGTTTCAACTCAGATCAAAACCCCCAAGATTTTCATCTGAGTGTTCATTGGGTATCAAGGTTCATGAATGTGACCCAAATATGCCTCATTTGTTGGCTGTTGCCCTCATGAATTGTTAATGAATTTGAGAAGGTTATATGCTCTACAGTCAAACATCGATTATCCGGACCTCGATTATTCGGATTTTTTAATCGATTATCTGAACTTGCTTCTCAGGTCCATTATTTACGAACATTTATACACTTGTTCACGTGTTCGAGATCCGGGCTCTCTATTATCCATACCATCAAACCAAATCTCCACGAGTCCGGATAATCGAGGTTCGACCGTACACTGTACTTGCAAAATAACATAAGACCGATGTACTTTCTTGCGTGCAAGGTCTGGTCCGTGAATTTTCAGACTGGAAATGCAAAAACGGGGTTAAAAGAATGAACAAATCAAACAGACAAAGAGGTTGACAGGTTCTTAACCTAAGAACTTTCATACATCAAACTAATCCGTCGAGGGAATTAAATAATATAATATGTCAAGTTATAAAGGAGACAAAAGTTACAAAGGTTTTGAAGTTCAACGACGACTTTCTAGACTCGGCTCCGGCTTGTCAGTCAGTGGTTGACGTGAAAAAGTTTATTGCGAATCCGTTTGTTTATCTGGGCTCGCTGAAGGTCCCTGAAAAAAAGAAATTCTCTCTATACATCTATCGTATATTCAGAGTTCTTTAAGTGCGTTGATCTCCTTAATTGCTTTTCACTGAAGGCTAGGAGACGGGGCTGTCTAATGATTAGCGTATCAGACCCGGAGCCTCCGGTTGTATCGTGGTATTTAGAAAGAGACACGAAACAATCTGTGTGTCACTCCTCCGAACAGTATTTGTCGGTGGCAGCAAACACTTAAGGAAGCTTGATGAAGTGCTAAGGGACTGCTTGCGGTGGACAAGCATACTATCTAGCAGGAGTGGCAATTGATACATCAAGTTTCTTCAGCCTGCGGAGAGCAGGCTAAATTTAGGTGGGGATGCTATACAGTTTCGTGTGCGGATTTCACCTTAGCTGTTCTGGTGTTAATTAAATTATTAGGAACACATTCCTTATCATGCTAACTCGTTGGTGTTTTAGAATTTTCCCCAAGAGTCAGCATAACTGTACGTAACTGTAACATTGTAAGATCGTTTTGGGCCGTGGCAAGATTCTTAGTGGAAGGGAGAGCGGAGGTTGGGGAGACGGATGAATACGCCGCTTTGCAAATTAAATCGGATGGTAGGGCTTAAAAGTGTAATCATGATGGGAATGGGCGAAAGTCTACTTTTTTTGTACACTTACGATTCCTTTCAATATTCTGCTCTGGAGAATCTGGTTCACAACTCGCAGAACGCGTGTGGCGTTTCGGAATACGTGGTGGAAGCCTGGGCGATAAACCCAGCGAAGTGGCATCAATGGAAGAAGACTTTGGACGAAGGAATCCATCAGGAAAACGACGCTGTACACCTGTATGCGATGAGTAATTGGATTAAATTCGCACGTTGATGGATTTATGCATAGTTAGTTGTGATAACCCGTCAGGAAAGCTGGAGAAAATAATGTTAGAAAAATGGTGCTTCGAGTATGTCTTGCAAAATCTTTTGTTCTTTCCTTCTCATGTTATGACTGAGTGAATTGATATGAACTTCCTATTGGTCATTTCGTTCAAAACAGTTGGAATGCCACTAAACGTTGAGTATGGTCAGGCAAAAACAAAACAAAACAAAACAGAAAAAAAAAAACCGAAAGCATAACAGGAATCTAGCGGATTTACAAACTGGTTACTTGTAATTTATTATTGTTTCATAATTATTTAATCTTTTACACTGTTCAATTCAATGCCCATGATCCTAACCTCAAAGGAAACTATTTGGAAAAAAAAAACAATGTAATTCGGTACGATAAAGAATATATTTAGGGGCAACAAAAAGTTATGAAAGAACAAGTATGGAGAGGATTGAAGAAGTTTGAAAACGACAACCTCGAGACTGAATTTTTTAGGGTGCGCAATCTACAAGTTTTTTCAAGTTTACAAAACAAACTGTTTCTAATTTGTCAAGTCGGCGACTTATCCCCCTCTGTCGAATCCTAAAGCTTGCGCTTGACTTAAGTGAACAAAAGGGGTAAGTTTCTTTAGAAACTGTGGTGCTTTGTTGGTGCTGGTTGCTTAAAGATAATTTGATTTTATCAACCGAGTTAAAAATGTAAACAACCCACTATAAAGAGTTTTATAGCTGATGTTTCGAGCGAGCGTTAGCCCTTGGTGAAAGCGAATCAGCCATAGAGAATGAACCATCGCTTTGACGAAGGGCGAACATTTGAAACGTCAGCTTTACACAGTGGTCAACTTACATTATCAACTCAATTGATAAAACCAAATTATCTTGAATTACATTCTATGATAATTATCGAAATCAATATATTTCTTACCTTGAGTAGGTTTCGGCGGAGAATTCAAATCGCTGCAAGATTTGGGAATCAATTTTCAATAATTTTTCTCATTTTAGAGTCATATATAACAACTTAATACACATACATACAATAAACAAACAAACAGAAGACAAAAAAAAAATAAATAACCAGATAATCACCGTTCAAATTCCCATTAGTCTGAAACATATCTTGGACGTTATTGATGATGAGCTTTGTCACCGGCTCTTGCTTTTAGCCAAATGTGTGACGAAATATGGTAATGATTCAACTACCTCGGTTTGTGTTTAGAAGTCTTTAATTGACTTATAAAAGACAGAGATTAAGTTACCTGTAGGCTTGAGATCTATGGGAGAGCTGCCAAGGAAAATAAGAATATTTTAGTCGAAAATATAGACTCATTTTTAACCAAGTGGAACCTTTTTCTTCAGTTTTTTTTTCCCTGAAACGTTAACTGCAGGTAAGACGGCCCTTTAAGGCCACTGAACAACTAGAAACCCTCGAATAGTAATCGGCCGTGCGGGTAAACGGTCGGAAATTACGGTATGTACCAATGAAATCTAGGAAAAGACGAATATCATGGTTTATTTGCATAAAAGTTTTCAAATGACTGTCTAGAGTAATCTGTAACTGCATTACTTTGCTTCACTATTTGAATGATGTAAAAAATTCGCGCCACTTTCTCAACCAATCAGATATAATAGTAAATCCAATCGTGACTTGGTCACCCATGTTTTCCCGCGCTTCACAGTTCAGGGCCTATTTTGCATTTTTTTTACTCTAGGATTATTAGCCCTCTGCAATTCTTTCCTCTCTTCTGATATTTTACCGTTTCGCTTTAGTTTTGTTTTTATATAACACTCAATCAGCAATCAAAAAGTGCTTTAGAACATGAGCTAGCTCAAAACGAAAAAAAAAAAACAGAGCTTACATTTGGATCTGACCCACTCCACTCGTTCGTTAAACTTCGAAGACCTGAGGATTGACGAGAAGGGATCGTTAATAAACACTATTGAACTATTTTATCACCAATGGATGTTGTAACGAAGTGATTTATCAATTTTATTTCATTCATCTGATGATGAAATACCTGAAATACCACCGTATGGTAGTTTGCCCGAGTTGGGCTTACGGAGAATGTGGCAGTTGACTCGTCATTTCATGATCCTAATGAAAACAAGAGATCTCTCAAGCTTGCATGCTTTTTCTCCTCCGATGTGCGTCATTTGATAATACCTTAAAGAATTCCTTCCTTTAAATTCTGTGCGCGTCCGGCTAGGAACGCGGTATTATTTACAAAAGACAAAGAGTTGAATTTCTGTGAGTACTTCATCGAGAAAGTAAACCATACAAGCTAAAGACTTCTCTTAAATTTTCTTTCCCTTTATACACTTCTGGACAGAATAAATAAGACAAGGTGAAGCCTTATTTTTGGCGCTGGAAAACGGTTCAAGTAGAGTGGGCCCAAGTTGATCACAGTTTTAAATCTTTAGGCTACACATTTTCCTCAGAATGCCTCAACACTATGGAGTACTATTAAAAAACTACCCAATTGTTGAATAGAAAGGAGAAGGGTAACTCGCAAAAGACTAGCATCCACTGGAATGAAAGAAAAAATAATTATAACCCTTTATTTTACAGCAATCATGTAGGCTCTAGTGACTCTCGTATTCGGGAATTTACCGCGGGTGGCAGAAAGAGGACTTCTCGTCTTAGCTGGTAGTTGTGGAGGCTGATCAGCGCTTGGTTGATGAATTGTGCCATTTTCTTCACTAATTGTCAGCTTACTGTTAAACAAACAAATCAAGCATGATATTAATTACGATTGGCAAAACGTCGAGAAATTGATTTAATAACTTGAAGCACATATAATCACTCATCTGTATTTTGAACCTAGCAATTTACACGTTATGCTTACATTATCCCTTTAGTAGTATTAAAACAGGAAAGTTTTGAAAAAAAACCATGAGTCGAAATTGCAAGTTAACAGTATACTAGAATTGCATAGGGGTTATTCTCCCAAGAACTGCAATTGAAAATAAAAATTCAACTACTCCCTGCCCCATTTAAATTTATCAGGCGCAGCACAAAACCAATCCAAAGCTCATATTGGTACTTTCCAGAACTTTCCATTGATATTTCCTATGTCGTGTTTGGCCGTAAATATTCTTGGTTTTATTTGTGACCAATCGAAAATTGCTTTAGTAATAACACAATCATATACTTACTCTGTAAAATGAGGCTGCATCCTGTGAAAGATCTTGAAAAAGAAGAAAATAAGAAAACACATTCGTAAGTATTGCTGCTGATTTCAGCCTCACCATAGTAATATGTGTTAATAAATGATTTCGTGAGAAGCAAAAACGTGATGCAAATTCAGTTTGAATGAAACCTTGGATTAGCAACAGCCGAAGGTTTAAACGTAAGTTATGGACTTCCCTTCCTTCCCTTCTTTAAATACATTAAAGTTGTTTGAGTATTTAACTATCGTGATAGAAAAGAAAGCAGATATATTATTGTGGGAGAACTTACGCTTGGATCAGATCCACGTCTTTCAGCCTGGTCACCTGCAATGTGCCAAGGAAGAGGTAATAGTTTCAGATATTGCACGCTTGCGACTTTCTCCGAACGGAATTGTCGGATTTCGTACACTTGAGTCCGTTTTTGGACGTTTCTGTCTGATTTTGGACACGTGTGTCTTTCGTTGGACCGTACTGTCCTATTTCGGATCTCTACTTCTGTTTTCGGAGTCAACGTCTGATTTTAGAGTCCATTTTTGAACGGTATATTGTCTGTTTTACTTTGGCTCACTGGGGCAATGACAAATAAATCATTTGTGGGCATAGCTTAAGTCACGAAGCCTTAAAACAACAAATGAAATTTTGAATTATATACATACCTAAGAAGAATAGTGGTGATTTCGCTGACCGTGGAGATCTGGGTGGTAGTGGTGGGGCAGAGTTGGGTATATCATGTATAGAATGTCTCTTATAGTTGAGGTGGTTGGATTTGGGAGGCAAGGCCGGGCCTAGGTCACGTGGTAGTGAGTAGGTCGAGTTGTCAGCATTCTACCAAAGAGAAAAATAGCTGTAACGGTACTAATTGACAATAAAAAAGGAGGAGTTATATTTCTAAACCCTTGTGGTCTCGCGAAAGACAACCCCAGTGATCCTGGCGTAGACAAGTTGTAACGTTGCTAGCCTCAAGGTTTTTCTCTTTAAAGGCCCCTTTTCGTAATTGCATGAATTGCAAAACATTACTGCTGGGAACTTATTATTATTTTAGTTAAATTCTGCAGTTCTACCGGATCATTTAAATTTTTTTTAAGTCTGCTAATTAAAAATTAATTCAGAGAGGAGGAGTTTTGTGAAGTCCTTTGAAATTACAGCTAAAGGACAGCAAATTCAAAGAAACAGCTGAAAATAAACTTTAAGGATAAATTTTATATTGAATTACCTCTGTAATACTATTTTCAATAAGCTGTCTGAATGCGTTCAGCGTTGCTTCTTGGAGTTCACCTTTTATCCAGCTAATTCTAACTGCGTTCTCTGCTACCGAAACTGCGCTCTGAAGTTCAGGAGTCATCCGAATCCCTGTTAGAAAGATGTACTGATAAAGTAGGCAGTTAAAGGTGAGTTAAATTCCCAAAATAGCTTCGTTGAAGCTATGTTAGGAATTTAACTCACAGTTAACTGAATTAATTTTGAGAATAAAGGAAGTTATTACGAACTCAATCTTGATAGGGAATCAAATTATCCTATTTTAAGCACCGAAGGAAATATCTAGAGAACAATATGGAGAATATGCATATGACCCAGAGGTTACGGAGTTCATTCCGATTGAGCAGCGTAACACCAAAACTAAAGTAATCACAAGGATCAGTCAGGAGAAAGAAATATTACGTGTAGCCATAAGAGCTCAAAATGAAAACAGGCCAACTGTCTCGGTTAAGCGCAGGGAATGCGAGTGAGGAAGTCACGACCGGTTTTAGTTCTGCATCTTATTGGTAAATGGCAATCTTTTGGGAGTCAATCACAGAACGAAATAAGGCAAAATAAGGTAAAACTAAACCAGTACTGTATATGAAGCTTTTATTGACCCTGCTAATCGTAGTCTTTGTGGCTCAGTGGTGAAGCATTGGAGCACCGAGTTCGATGGTCTTGATTACTTTAGAAGACTCGCAGTTTTCCTTTGTTGCATGATCATGACAAGACGTAAAAAGCCTTCTTCACTTTTGGATTATGTTCAACACTTGATTGCCCGTTAGCCATTTTTTATCTCAATGTTTACTTACGGTTTCTGTTGGTTCCAATTCCTGGCATCCTTACATAGTCATACTCTCCATCGCTTTTGTCTTCTGGAGTCATGTTTGGACGCATCTCCATGTAAATGTCTTCATTATCGCCATTATCATCTTGAACTCCATCTTCTCTTTGATCATTGTTATTTGTGACGGTCCATTTGTTTGACTGTAAGTAAACGACAGTTAAAATTAAAAAAAGTGGACGGACGTTGAGGTTACTACAAGAGTGTTAGGGACAGTTTGCCCCTCCGCTCCCCCCTTGTGGTGATCACATGACCTTAGCGACCATGTGCTCAAATCGTTGTGGGTTGTTTGTGCGTAGTAAGGTTTGCTTTACCTTGCGTTTTGATGTTGATGTTCGGTTTAGTCTGGAGATGGCCAAAAATATGTAAGTTGTCACTTTGTGTGTTATTCTTTTTCTTGTAATTCAATATTTGTTTCAGTTTCGAGTCTAGCTTTCTGTTTTATGTAAGTTGTAGTTGTACCGAATGAGAAGATCGCTTTCAGATTAAACATTTCAAGTTCACAACATTTAGTCTAAGATTATCTTTAACAAAGAGAATTCCTCTTTATGCAAACTCCTACAGTATCGATTAAAGAACTTTTTTCTTTAAAATATAGAGCGAGGCATGGTGGGTCGAGAATTTTAGGTTTGAGACTGGCCAGGTCATTGTGTCTTTTGTTCTTGGGCAAAGTACGCAACTCTTACAGTGCCTCTCACCCCCCCCCCCCC